AAGCAACTTACTTTATTTGATGGCAATTTACCAGCGGTTCCAATTAAAAAAGCCAGTGCCTCCTCCTTTTGCTTATCGGATGGTCTTGAATAGATTCTAAACGATGATTCACTTTTGTGCCCTGAGATTGACATAGAAGTGATAATTGGCACACCAGCTTGATAGAGAGAGGTGATTAGTGTTGTACGACCCGAATGATTAACTATATCTCGACCTTGAATATTGATACCAGCTGCATTACAAATGCTTTTCATGAGGTTGCCACAAGTTTTGGTTCCAAGTTTTGAATCGAGATACCATTCACCTTTAACAATAGCTAGAATTTCATAATTAAAATTTTTTTAGTTTTTATTTTTTTTATTTTAAATAAAATTCTTAATATACCTTTTGAATGTTTATTAATTTTTAAATGTAAGAATTCACAAGTAAAATTAGCTGGTCGATGATCAATATATAATTTTATGTCATGAACAGGGCCAAGTAATCCTTTAGGATCAGGCGGCACAGGGATAGTTAATAAATCTAAATTGCCATCGACTCCGCCTTGATCGTTTTTTTGAGAGAATTTTGTAAATTGTAAACCACCATTTGAAGCAAAAACAAACTGAGATACACGCATTTCACCATGCTCACCACCCCGGGGAGCAAATAGCAAACAGCACCACATAAATATACGGTATTGTAAGCCTTGTGGGTGAGAGATAGATGTTGCTTTATGTGCAAATATTGCTTGAATTTCTGCATTAGTTAAGGGATCATGATGTCGTGCAATTTTTCCTATTTTTTTAAGCTGCTTCAATTTACCATCTAAGGTCTTCCATAAATCTCTAAATTCTTGTTTACTTGCCAAGTTATATTTGTTAACATTTAAAGGATGATCTAAAAGATACATCGCAAGACAATTAATAGCATTGCGTAATGATGAAGGTGCATATTCCTCCCCATTTCTTAATTGTCGTACACCACACACAAACTCAACCATTTCTCGTTCAAGCTGCTGCTTGTTTTGAATAGTTTCAATTTGATACTCATAACCAACAGTCTTCCGCCATTTATTTAAAATCCGAACCCAATTATCAATTGTTTTTTGTGTGTTTTCTGGTACTGTGGAACTTTTGATACATTGTATTTCTTCTTTGGAAGGTT